CACGGTCTGTCGGCTCGAGCGCTCCACCTCGTCCAGCACGGTGAAGTCGTCAGCGGCGGCGTCTCCGTCCGACTCGGAGGTGTCCTCACTGTCGTTATTGGCGACGGCGGCTGCCGCTGTGCGCTCAGTCAGGTCGGCCATCACAGCAACACTCGCCGATGATTGGCGTCTTCGAAACCATCGGACGATGGTGGATTCATCACCGTTTTTGCAGCAGAGACTGGAAAACCTCAGCAATAAACAAGGAAAAACCTCACAACATGCCACAGCCTGCAATTGTGCATATTGTTATTATATTTCTCACATGACAGAAAATATTGGCTGCTTTATTCTAGGAACTGGCATGAAAAACATAAGCTAAAATCAAGCTAAGTGAATTATTATTGTATTTCAACATGAGACTGGGAAAAAATCCTTGTCACTGTCAACACGACCAGTGTAACGGATGGACTGCATGAACATTTCGGCGCATGATCTGAAAACTCTGTGAGCAGAAATTTCAGCGCTGAGGTGAACAAATAACATTTCGGCCGCAATTTGCCTGGTGCCTCCACAATTTTGCAAAACTAACTCACAATACTTACAGACAGTTTTAACATGATCCCTGCATGACTCATGCATGCAAGATACACATGCATTCAATATCAGCACAGTGCACACACAACAGTTATGGATTCATTTACATTTTACAACATTACTATTATTTTCTTTTCCTTCAATATTGGCAGCATGACTTGCTGAGCTCAGTGGCACAATCTTATGACAGCAAGTTTGTTCGGGTTCGCAACCATGCAAACTTTGCACATTTGGCTTCAAAAACAAGCCTTTATACATTTCTTTCATGCTATTCAATTTCTTTTTTTTTAAATTTACTGTCATTGATCTTGAAAATCTTGCCATTTTAGTCTTAGCCATGTCAATTGCACCTTCCCTATTCTGCACAGCTCAAGTAGGTAAGTTCCACCCAAAAGTAGTAGTGGTATCAGTAGTTGGCGCCTTGCATTGTCAAATGTAGCTGAATATGTGAAAACAGTGACATATTTATTTAAAATCTTGAGTCCAATGAGCCTACCCTCTCTGCCTCTCCTTCCAGCATTTGTTCAAGCACCTTTAATTTTCGAAAATGATCTTCCATCATTATTTTCCACTTCCGTGCGACTCGCACGAGCAATGAACTTGTAAGCTGACCACTAGTTAATAATGTGCTATCATCTTGCTGTTGGGTGCTTGTAGCAAAAAGATAATATAAACGAAAAAACTAACACCACAACACCAAACACCAGTCTTGTTGGTTCCTTTTGGTCCTGCCTGGTGACAAAGGCTCTTTCTTTACGCAATATCATCAGTATTCCTCTTCTAATCTTGAAGCCCAGATGCTTTACAAATTGGCCATGAATACTAAATTATTATATCAACTGGGAAGCGCAAATCACGATAATTAGTAACAAATGAGGCCAATTGTTCCAACACGCCATCAAAAAAATAGACGGGGTCGCCCGTCTATTTTTTTGGCTGTTTTTCTACAAATAATGGCGCAAAATAACACTCCATTAATGCCGCATTTGCCGTTGGTGAAACTCATTGGCTATTTTTCTGGCTGATATTTTTTCACGCCGGCGGATATTTTTTCGCCTGGTTGGTGAAACTCGTCGGCTGGTTTTTGACAGAAAAATTGCGCCGGGCTGCTATTTTTCTGTTGGTAAAACTGGCCTCTGACCCAGAAAATGACCGAAGTGTTTTCGTCCTTATTTTGGACGTTCTTTCGATTGCCTCTTACCGCGTGTCGCTACGTGGCCCAGGAGCCGAGTTAGAAGGGCGGGGGGTGTTCAGACCCCCCCCCCCCGCCCGGCGCAGAATCTCAGAGCACCGGCCCGGCGCGGATTAAGTTGTCGAAAGTAAGTGAGCTATCTGCAGTCTGTAACTTGTAAGTCTCGATTTTTTTCGGAACTTCGAAGTTCTTGTAATCATAGATTTCTTCTGGTCGACCTACAAATTTTGTTTTAAAAGCTAGCTGATTTTCAATGGATCTGCCGGACCTATCGGTTTTCTTCATACGGAGGCCGAAGGGGGATGTGACTGCCACTCCGTTTCCTCCCTTATCAGATCAGGTCTTGGCGGGTTAAAGCGAGAGATCAAAGAGACACAGACCTTTACGCGACGCAGCGATTGGTACACTCGGGGGCAGATTGATGTTCCACAACTCTTTATCCACCGGGGTCCTATGGCTCAGCATTGGCAGCAGCCGCCTGGTACCGGTAGACTGTGCCGCTTCACTTACTTGTCAAGCGGCACAGCCTACCCACACCGTATGACACCGGTCTGGGTCGGTGGCTGGAAGGCGATGTGGGCCGCCTGTGACGTCAGCGCAGCGGTGAGGGCCGAGCCCGGAGGCATGGCTCGGGTCGGCGCGGCGCGGCGGCTGGCGAGGGCTGGGGAGTGAGGTGGGATGGGAGCACGGACCATATCGCGCGGCTGAGCGAGTGTAGTTAACTTTCGCGTCTCAAGGCGCCAATTATTCTACCTAACAATTGTGCTAAAGCAGTTGTTAAAATGTCCTATCCCCAAGACAGCGCCTATCATCATACTTGCCATGCACATTACGACACTTAAACGTGGCATTGGGACAGCCGATAGAATTTATATCACACGTGCATCGAGTTGCGGAGCTACATTGTTTTTAACAGATAAGTATTAAGGCCTTGATTGAGCTCATTGGTGTCTATTATTTCGCACAGCAACCGTCCAGAGACGTGGGAACTGGTGTTTTTGGATAGCGCGGCGTCCCAACTTTAAGCAACTCTTACTGTTCCTCTAATGTGTGGTCGCAGCCACCAATAGCAAACCGTTCCATCTAGGAACAAATAAGTCGCGCACCTGGGACGGTTCGAACCGGGTTTCTCCAACCGGTCACCGCACGACGCTAGCGTGTATCCACTGAGCTGTCGAAACCAGCAACCACCGGCCGCGGTCAAACGCGATTAAATGTCACAATACGGTCATTGGCGGTCAGCGGGTGAATGTCATTTTGTTTTGTGCGGGCTAGGACCATTCTCGGTAGCTCAGTGGATGAACGCTCGTGTCGTGAGTTGGCCGGTGGTAGAAGCCCGGTTCGAACCCCCCTGAGTGGCCGAGTTTTTGGCTCCTAGTTGGAACGGTTTGCTATTGGAGGCTGCGACCATATAATAATCGCTTTAAATTAGAGCGTTGGCTGCGGCACTACTCATAACCCCCAGTTCCCACGTCTCTGGACGATTGCCGTGCGAAACAATAGACACCAATCTGCTCAATCAAGGCCTTAATACTAATATGTTATACAAAATATAGCTCCGCACCTCGATGCACGAGTGACATAAGTTATATCGGCTGTCCCATTGCCACGCTTAAGTGTGTCGTAATGTGCATTGCAAGTATGATGATAGGCGCTGTCTTGGGGATAGGACATTTTAACAACTGCTTTGGCGCCTTGAGACGCGAAAGTTAACTACACTCGCTCAGCCGCGCGATGTCCGTGCTCCCATCCCACCTCACTCCCCAGCCCTCGCCAGCCGCCGCGCCGCGCCGACCCGAGCCATGCCTCCGGGCTCGGCCCTCACCGCTGCGCTGACGTCACAGGCGGCCCACATCGCCTTCCAGCCACCGACCCAGACCGGTGTCATACGGTGTGGGTAGGCTGTGCCGCTTGACAAGTAAGTGAAGCGGCACAGTCTACCGGTACCAGGCGGCTGCTGCCAATGCTGAGCCATAGGAACCCGGTGGATAAAGAGTTGTGGAACATCAATCTGCCACCGAGTGTACCCGATTTTTACTCTAGGCCGTACTGGCGTTATCACGGAGGCTAACGTATAAAAGTCCTAGGACTTCAGCGACATTTATGTCGCTGAAGTAACGTTAATGTCGTTACGTCTTTTGTTTTTTGCTTTGTTTTGTTTTGTTGCTGTTGGCTTAGACTGTCGGTCTAATAACACCATTCCACAGCCGGAAGGACGGTAGGAAATAGGAATTAGGGGAGACATTGGTCTGGGCGGGCACCCTTGTGACCCGTCGGGGCTGAGCCTATCACGAGGAGAGGCCACCCAGTCCCCTGATGGTCAGCGCACCCGGCTACGGGCCTGCTCCTGGGGTAGACCCGCGTGGGATAAAGTTACTTAGTCCAGCCCGGAGCAGGGGGTGGAGGAGAAGGATTTGACTGTCCTGAGGATGGAAACGACGGATCGGATATCTTGGTTGAACTTGAATGTTTGTTGTTCTGTTTGGTAGTCTGCTGTTCCTATATTATTCATGCCGTGTATTTTTTTTGGGGGGGGATAGGCCCTTTCGGTCTGACGAGACCATTTCAGGGCCGGAAGGATGATAGGAATTAGAGGGAGACATTGGTCTGGGCAGACACCCTAGAGAGTCGCCGGGGCTGAGCCCGTCCGAAAGGACAGGCCGACCAGCCCCCCCCCCCCCCCAGCACTCTCTGCACCCGGCTACGGGGTGCGCTCCCTCGGGAGCAGCGGTGCCGCTCCAAGGGAGCAGCCCGCATGAGATACAGGTGCCTGTCCAGCCCGGAGTGGGGTTTGCGGCGTGGAGAAGGATTTCAGTATCCTGAGGATAGAAGCACGGAACGGTGACATGCCGTGTAGAGACGCAGATGTTGCATTCAATGACTGACGGGACCGCAGCGGTTCCAGATGCGCAGCCAGAGCCCTGTTTCACGGCTTGACGCTACAGCGCGCCACGCGTATCGGTGTATTGGGTTTCCATGGAATTATCTACAAACTCGGACGCTCGCAACGCTGGAGCGTCTGAGTTTTGTTGAGGCGAATTCGTCTCCAACGCCGCACCAATGCCGTAGCGTAGCGTAGCGCACTCTAGCGTCGTGCCGTGAAACAGGGCCCAGGTGACCCAGTTTCTCAGCCCGCAGGGCTATCCTGTATCCAGTTCGATATCACGATTCCTACCCAGAGTAGCATGTGCTCATCACTTCTCGACTCACACTGGCTTCCGTGTCGTTTCAGGCGAGCGAAGAGCCGTCAGGGGCACGGGCCGAGTGTCGCGGCGATCGGGGCCGCGGCAAGGGTCGGCGCAACTAGCCGGCCACCTGGCGCCGACCGCCGACACTGCAGTGACGCGCCGCGGCCGCTAGATGGCAGGGCAGCGCCGGCCGATAGCACAGTGACGGTTTTTGGACGGTAGATGGCGTGCCACAGGGACATCTGGACTGACTGAGTGAGAGCGCGAGAGGGAGACAGAGGGGCTGGAGAGACGTTGGGCGTGGCGCGCGCGCCCGGGCACTCGTCCCAGACTGCTGCCGCTTATGGACGCGAGAGGCGACACGCGCCGACACTTCTGTGGACTCCAACAAATTAGTGTGATGTGTGGACGCTCCGTGCGCGCGTGCTTGTGACAATGATTGGTGCTATTCGGTTGCATTTACCGTTCGTCATTTGGTTGTCAAATTCTGTTTGTCATCTTTTAACGATTTGAGCGCATTACAACGGGCATATTTAATTATTGTAACTATAAAGGTTCTTGCATAAGCTGCTGCTGCTATATCTTTTATTTGCACAGAACAGATATTCTACTTTCTGTCTGGTTGTAAAACAGTCTTCTTGCAAAACAAGTATCTTTCGCATCGTCCTTCGCTTGGTGTCGTACTTCTCAAAGAGACGCTTGATTTGTCGTGGAACATGGGCTTAAAGAAACATTTGAGTTATCTTGAAAAGGATGGAGGAAAAGCCTAGTTGAGGCCTGAACAGAGCGTGTCGTTCCTGTGTTGTGTAACGCATTATGTAACGCCTCAGTGTCGTTCTGTCCGTGTAAGCAGCACAACAGCACGTAGGCTGATCTCGGTGGTCTCATGAAATTCTCCTTCCACTTCTTTCGGCACCGGGTGGCGCCGGCGGTGTCGCTCCGGGTTCCATTGGCTGTCTGGGTTCGTGTGCTGCTGTGTGCGCGCCGCTGGACGTTCTATGTTGTGTGCCGGCGGGGCGGCCGGGCCCCGTCGCGTGTCGGCGCGTCGGCCACCGACCATCAGTACAGCTGTCGGCGCTGCGGCGGCAGGCAGCCCCTTCTGTTGCCGGGATCAGTGGGAAATATACCCAGTTTATATCCAGCGCAGGTGTTGTGTTTTGACTGATTTGTCGAGATTGTGGCATACCGACCCGAGAGCTAAATGCATGATGGCTAAAGTCAATATTTTAATATGTTCGAGACTAGTAGCCCAACTAGCCGGAACAGGAACGGAACCTGTCGCGAAGTTCATAGCAAAGGCGGCGGAACGGGGAGGGCGCCGAGGCACCGTGCCCCCCTTTGATTTTGACATTTTAACATTAGTCCTATGGGCGTTGCATGGAAAGAATGGGATGAATGGGTCGGCAGTGCCATAGGCGGCGGAAACGGGGAGGGCACCGGGGCACGGTGCCCCCTTTGATTTTGGCATTTTAACATTAGCCCTATGGGCGTTGCATGGAAAGAATGGGACCAAAATTCGGCAGTGCTCCCTGTCCCGCCGCTACTGGGCAGTGCCCCCTTTAATTAAAGGTGTTGCGCCGCTATTGTTACAAAGCCTTTGCGCTGAAAGCCTACATAAGGTGAATGGTGATCTATGGGTCTGTTCCCGTTATGCTGGTGAAAGCTGTGAAGAGTGCATTGTCGTTTTTCGTTATCCTGAGACTCCGTATAAAACTCTTGATACTTCGACACTAACAGCGCTTCTCCGACGAAAGGTCAAAAGTGTATTTACATTCCTGCTCAGCTGTTCTTCCTCTCTCTGACGTCAAAATGATGTCATAAATTGTAAGTGCTTTATGAAAACCGTACGTAAGGGAGAGGGAATTTCCTATTCTTTGACGTCATTGAGCTACCAGATTTCATTCTTTCAACGGTAGGCCAAAGACACACTGGTGATAAAAGTGTGGTCGGAGCTGTTGCATAATATTTTCCATATTTTCATAACAGTGCTTCGGTGTCACGTCCGTCACGCAGTTACTCGACATACCGGCCACGTCGTCAAGCAGGTGCCAGGTACCTACCTACCTATATTTTTTTTTTTGATGTCCATAAGACTTATGGTGGTGATCATTCCATTAGCTTCAACTTCAACTCTCGCTTCAACTTGAGAGGTGCAGTGTAATGCATTACCTTTTCAACATGAAATCTGTTGTTTATATTATTATATACCTACTGGATTGAAATGAAATCAAGTCAATGTAAAGATTTTTGCAGTTGGTTTGGTCAGGTATCGAAATTCATGACATACTCTGCAAGGTGATGCTATCATATTCAAATGTTTGTTGGCTGGTTGCAATTTCTAGAAAAAAAGATTTTCTTTGGTGTTATTATTTGTATTTTATTTAATTTGACAGCTGAAAATCCTGTCAATCAAATATTTGTCAGTGAATATGCAATAACCATAATATTCAAGATGTTATTCTTTTGAAAACAGCTACGAACGTGGGCCTTCTTAGCCATTCCATGGTCCGCTGAGTCGTGCTGACATTATCTCTATTTCAGATCGCAAGACAATGAGCTTAAGTAATTTACATGTTCAGGTGAGACTGGGACACTGATTACATGAAACAATAGGTGGCTAGACCGGTTAGAGGTCAGCTTGCAGGCAGTTGAAGCAAGAACAGACCCATATATGTTTGATAAATATTTGATGTGACCACACTTCTGTTTTTCCCTTAGCTGATGCCTAACTCATATTAATAGTTAACAAGCTTGGAAGCCTAAACTATCAATCTGGTAGATGAGTGGAAAACTATAAATTAACAATTTTGTCTTCTGAAGTGTTTCATATGTAAGTTAGAGTAGGTAGTGACCAGGTGCCTTGCCTACACATCTAAGCTAAAGTTGGTCAGCTATTCTGTTGGTGGTTATGTTGTGATTGATCAGTGTTTTCATTTATTTCAGCTGGCAATGCCCATTGCCAATGCAATCCCAGCATTACAAAGTGCTGGAAAGCTATTACCCTGGGCTTCAAAACATGGCTCTCGCTCATCCCGCTGTTGGAAAGCAGAACTTGAAGAGAGTATGAGAAATGTGAGTTTTCTTTGCAGCTCTATCACCAAACCAGATGCTATTTCTATTGAAATACTCTCCCAATAGATTTTCATTCAAGTTTGCATTTCTAACTTCTAATATTTTTTCATTCAAAGAAGGTCAGTTGATCTGGTTTACACAGTTATTGTCCATTGCACCCCAGCTGATCAGTGTGTTTCTCTGTTCCAACTCCTACTAACCCTGTCTCACGGCCGGCATGGCAGACGCTGTCCGGCTGCACAGACCTGGGCCTGGTGCGGCTGGCGCCGGAGCGGATCGTGAGCCCGCTGCTGAGCCGGCCGCCGCTGCCCGCCCACTGGCGGCAGTCGCATGTCTCGGCCGCCTCGTTCGCCGACAACCAGCGCAGCGCGTCGCTGCTGCCGTCGCCGCGGCCGTCGCCGCTGCTGCTGGTGGCCGCCCGGCTGCCGGCGGCGGCGGCCGGCGCGCGCCGCGCCTACCACACCTCCGAGCAGCGCGGCTTCAAGACGCGCCGCACCGTGGAGGCGGAGCGGGCGCGCGCGCCGTCCATCTCTGACCGCCTGCGGGACGGCCTCCTGCTGAGCGGTAATCGGTCGCGGCCCGCCGAGGCCGGCCCCCTCTCGGCTGCCGACCTGGCCGCTGTTAGCGTCTTGGACCAGCACGGCGGTGCCAGCTCCAAACTCAAGGGTGAGTGAACTGTGAAGAGTATGTGATGCTACTCAGCTCAGCTTACCATGTTTTGTTTCTGCTGTGCTCTGATTTGTAAATTTTTAGTTGGGTGTTGTTCGGGTCTCTTGAAATTGAACTTCGGTGGATTCCGTGCCGAAGCTCGACTTCATCTGGTTAGCATTTCTTTGTACCATTGCTTAATGCTTTATATGCTCTATCCTGACCCCTGTTTTACCGATGTCTGTTTTCTGCAGAGCTGTCGGACAAGTCTCAGTCGGCCGAGGAGCAGCAGCGGCTGAAACTGGCCTTTGCCGAGGGATACCTGTCAGGCGGCACGAAACAGACCAACACCAGCTGGGGCGGCCGCGTGTTCCAGGGACTCTACAACGCGCTGCGCATCGCCGCCATCGTGCTCCTCATCTACGTTGTGTTTGGTGAGTGGCGGTAAAGGGGTGGACGAGGGACGCCAAGACATGCAAGGGTGACAGGTAGGCCGTTGTGACATAAAGTGAGACTGTGTTTTTGACGGTCCGTTGAAGATGGGAAGGAGATACTAGCCCAAATAGTCGGGGTGCTGTTGGTTTCGTTCGGGATCTTGCGCACCCTAGCCTGACCTTTATAGAGTCGCAGCTGGCAAACTCTGCAGAGTGCGGAATGCAGTGGTTGCACGTGCAACGTGGCTCGTGAGGTGAGTCTTTGGGAAAACCGGTCGGTATCTGGGCGTGGTGTCAAGTGTTTGGCTTATATCGTGTCTTGTTTTTCAGTGTTGCAGCGTTGTGATCTGTTGATGTTGGGTTTTCCTTATGGCTTGGCCACGAGCTACACTGCTGGAATAGTCAATTCAGAACAAAAAATGTACCAATGTTTGTGCGTATTTTGCAAAACATTGAGTTTTGTGAATGCCTGTTTTTTAGTACGATATAAGTTATCCTTGTCTATCATCTGTGCTTGCAGCTGGACCAGGGAACAACATGTTCAGGGTGCAGTTTACCAGCAGTGAGGTGATGCCAGAGGAGGTCAACGTCTCCTTCGCCGATGTCAAGGGCGTGAGTTTTCTTGACTCCTTGCTCACAATGACCTGCAGATATTGTGGTCTGCAGCTGTACTTTTCATATGTCTGGATACTGATGCATTATAAGAGCAGAGCGTGCTAGATCTCCTTTCAATGCTTAGATATGGTAATGTGTAACACGCAGTTTTCTCTTAGGCTGAAACACTGCACACATTTCAAAAACTAGATTTATAGATGAATTAACATCAAACAAGATCTTAAGGTTATGTGTTGCCAGTAATCTTCGCTTAACAGGAAACATGTCAAGCTCTTCAACTTCCTCCTCGTTCTGGGTTTTCAGGCGGACGAGGCGAAGCAGGAGCTGCAGGACATTGTCGCCTATCTGCGCAACCCGGAGCGGTTCTCGGCGCTGGGCGGCAAGCTGCCCAAGGGCGTGCTGCTGGCCGGCCCGCCCGGCACCGGTAAAACGCTGCTGGCGCGCGCCGTGGCCGGAGAGGCGGACGTGCCCTTCTTCCACGCGGCCGGCTCCGAGTTCGACGAGATCTTCGTAGGCCAGGGCGCGAGACGCGTCCGAGATCTGTTCAGTGAGTGGGCGGTGGGGTGTTGTGAGGCGGGATTGGACGGGGTGCTGAAGGTGAAGGGGTATATTATTGAAGTCGGTAGAATCACTAATAGCGTGAATGCAGTACAGGGTTTATCGCAAAAGCTGTGTGCTGGCTGTGATATGCGTGAGGCGTCTTGGATTTTTAGTTTATATTATGTTGAAATTATGTGTGTTGTGTATACTAAGTGTTGTTCCTACTTAGCTGGACGATGACACGTCCTCAAACCTGTTTTTGACGTGGCTCCGTTCTCCCACCACTAGGAAACGCCAAGGCGCGTGCGCCGTGCGTGCTGTTTATCGACGAGATCGACTCGGTCGGCGGTAAGCGGAGCGCCTCGCGCCACCACCCGTACGCCAACCAGACCATCAACCAGCTGCTGACAGAGATGGACGGTTTCCATAGCAACGAGGGCGTCATTGTGCTGGGCGCCACCAACCGGCCCGACCACCTGGACTCGGCGCTGCGACGGCCCGGCCGGTTCGACGTCGAGATCAACGTGAGTCGACCGGATGAGGAAATGATCTTGTGGGTGACATGGATGGTGTTTTAAGAATTGAAGGAGGCCGTAAGAGTAGGCGGATGCGGTGCTGTTGTTTTCTAGGTTTTGATCGGCTAGTGAGATGTCGGAGTTGTGAGAAAGTCTAGGAATAAGTGGGATTGAAGTGTTTGAGTTTTAGAAATGACGATCTAATGGGATGGCCTCCTCCCCACCCGCCGCCATAAGGTTCACCCGGAGACCTCTGGTAAGTGTCAGTACTCTAACTGACCCTGCGCTGTGTCGCAGGTGGCCGCCCCGGACCTGGAGGGCCGTAAGGACATCTTCCACCTGTACCTGGACAAGATCACCTTAGGACCCGACGTGGATGTGGACAGCCTGGCGCGAGGCACCATCGGTTTCACAGGTGCGTTTGGTGGACTGCACAGAAGTTGGTGTATCCTCCGTAGCGGAGAAAAACTACCTCAGAGAATCACTCGATTTTTGCTAGTCGACTGCGTTTTTATTGAGCGTGTGATGTGATTTCTTTCGCCCGCGACAGGGTGGTATTCTATCGTGCCACATCGAAGCCCGTTATGATTGTTATATGACGGTGTATCCGCCAGGTGCCGACATTGAGAACATGGTGAACCAGGCAGCCCTCCGCGCGGCCATCCTGCATGCCTCCAGTGTGTGTATGAAACACCTCGACTGGGCCAGGGACAAGGTCATCATGGGTACGTGCTTACTGTGAGGTGGCGGGGATCAGTGTAACACTTTGCAGTACTGGGACCGTCTAGTGAAAAGTCTTCTTAGTTGTGTTACTTGTCGCACACAGTACCGGCAAGAGCGCGTCCAGCTGGCTGGGCTAACATATGTGAATTTCGGAGGCTCATCAGCGCTGAATATTGTTTATAGCCTCCTGCAACTAATATATTTTTATGTGCCATACATTTAAGTGCAAGCTACACCTGTCGTTTGAATTTGTTTATGCATCTTGTATGTGTTGCAAGCAAGGTAAAGACATCGGTTTTCGGGCTTTGATAACGTTGACCACTGTGTTGCCCATAGCCCTCTATCGCTCACCGCCGTCCATTCCCGTCAGGCGCCGAGCGCAAGGCCCGCATCCCGGACGAGGAGACCAACCTGAACACGGCGTACCACGAGGGCGGCCACACGCTGGTAGCGCACTTCACCAAACACGCCGACCCGGTGCACAAGGTCACCATCATGCCCCGCTCGCGCAGCCTCGGACACGTGAGTCGGGCGGATGGGGCGGAGTTGGGGAGGGGGGGGGGGTGAATAGTTGAATTAGAGACTTGTGGGAAGGGAGCCATTGTTGCTTTCGCAGTCGATAGGGTTAGGTGCGTCTGTCGGGATCCAGAGGTTCAGTTTAATATGTGCTCTCGGCTGTCTTCTCTTCTCTCTTACGTAATGATCACCCTAATCGTTTGAGCCCGGAGGCGTTGCGGATAGCCTATGAAGCATTCCACGATATACATGCAAGGCAAAGTTGTGTGAGGCGGTATCGATCGTTGACCACCCTCCCCCTGGCCCTCACAGACGAGTCAGATTCCGAGCAAAGACCAGTACCAGAACACGCGAGCCCAGATCCTGGCGCGGATGGACGTGCTGATGGGAGGCCGGGCGGCGGAGGAGATTCTGCTCGGGCCCGAGCACGTCACCACCGGCGCCAGCAACGACCTCGAGGTGAGGCAGTTCGGAACGGGTGGGGATCTCACAGGCGCAGATGCAACAGCTGGTAACGTACTGAGCACAGTGGAGACTGGAGTTTCTGTGGACTAATGATTGTTCTACTGCTTATTATCGTTGACGTGATAATTTTCACGACTCGTTTTCTTTGGCCGCTTGATTGTTGCGACTGAGTACGATTTGCATTATTGCATAGGCGTCGATATCCTGCCATTCGGGTTCGAGCGCCCGAAAGCCTAATAACATTAACGCCATTACTTGCAGTTGCTAACCGTCGTATTCCACCACACAACCACCACCACACCATTGACCGGTCTGGTGTCACTCCTGTCTCCAGAGGGCCACCCAGCTGGCGACGCGGATGGTCAAACAGTTCGGGATGAGCGACCGGGTGGGCCTGCGCTCGATCCCCGACACCGACCCGGAGACGCTGGCCAACGCCATCAGCGACTCGACCATCGAGTTGATCGACAACGAGATCAAACGCCTCCTGCACGTAGGTCGAGCGGGGTGGACAAGGAAGTGGGGCGTCATTTTAGACTAGAGGTTCAATTTACTGGTGGTGGTTATCGCCTACCGGTTGCTGGGATGTGACGAGAAGACCACTTATTCTAGAGGAGGCTGAATATGTCGATTGGAATATTTGATGACAGCACTTCTTATCGACATTGCATTTACCTTTTGAACGAAAATAATACCGCTTCTGTTTGATCAAAGGCTCTTGTGATTTGACTTTATGGTGAGAAAGTATTGTTAAAATGTACCTGGTGTTCCTCCGCAGGAATCGTACGAGCGGGCGAAGCGGATCCTGAAGGAGCACGACAAGGAGCTCAAGTCGCTGGCGGACGCTCTGCTCAAGTACGAGACGCTCGACGCCGACGACATCAAGGCGATACTGCAGGGCGGCAACTGTAAGAAGGCCGGCCCGCAGTGACCGCCGGCCGGCTAGGTGCGCGCTTTGTGACGTCCGTCTGTTATGTGAGCTAGGTGAGCAATGTGAGCAGCGCTGGGTGAGCTCCTACATCATCATTACATAGTGAGCTCGCCACAGGCTGTCACGACAAGTCAGGGCAGTGGTACGCGGTCTGTACTAGCACGTGACTCGCGACATAATCGTTCAGAGGTGCGTGCTTCGAACACGCACGTGAATGCGGGTGTCGTGCGAGCGATACATGTGTCGCTTCAGCGCCCTTAGTGTGAACCTCTACGAGAAGAAGAAAGTGGCGGTATGTATCGGTGGAAGCTGGTTGTGGTAGGTGTTCGACGGCTTCCGTGAGTCAATAGCGCTCGGTGCCGATGAAGTCATCTCCGAGCTCCAGCGCGCGGGCGTGCCGGACGCCGGTTGCAGTCGTTGAACAGAGTGTATGTAAGTGAACAGAGAACTCTGTTAGTTTCAGCCAGTACCGTGAATTCTGCGGTGCCTACAACATTCTGTCAATAGTAAAACGGTATACTATGGTAAAACGCCGGTGGCTTTAATTGTCGTCGGTCATTTCTGGAACCACGTCCGTTCATTGCAAGTTACTGAGGCTGCGAATTCAGTCCGTCTTAGTTCTGTACACTTTGAGAGTAACCGAGGCTCGGCATCCGCTGTTGTATATTCTGTTGACGTGTTGATATAACTGTGAACAAGTGGGCCTTCGTGACAACCAACATACAGTGTCGTTATGTCATATCGAGGCATTGCATTGAATACAGAGACGAAGAGAATGACTCGTGAGTCGTGTCACAAGTTCAAGTTATATTAACACATCAATTGAAGTTTTATCCAGTAGCGGCGGAACACCTGCCATTGAGGGGGGGGGGGGGGCACTGCCGACTTTTGGTCCCATTCTTTCCATGCAACGCCCGTAGGACTAATGTTAAAATGCCAAAATCAAAGGGGGCACGGTTCCCCGGTGCCCTCCCCGTTCTGCCGCCTATGGTTTTATCTAAGTTATATTATAGAATTAATCCTCGTAATTGGCGTTTTGTACTTATGAGTTATGCATTAATAATATGTACGTCAATCTAGCAGTAGGTACACAAATATTCGGAGATATGTTTCTGGAACTTGGGAGTCAAAGATTTGGACGGGGCGAATATGCTGCTCTGGCAAGGGATTCGCCGAACGTCTGTCTGCTAGACAAAAGAGGCGAATGAAATAATCTATTTAGGGCCTTGGAAATAATATACCCTGAATGAAATAGGGAGTCGAATGACTTCAATGATGTCAGCAACCTTGATAAAAGACATTGCTTTTATCTTATACCAAATAATGATAATCTAAAACTCATTTGATAACGAGCAAAGGTAAATCGAAAATCTTTATTTTTCCTACATTTCCAATTGCTTAATTTCACTGCCGTGTTCCTTGGAATCGTATGCAAATATCACGCAGGCGCTGCATTTATGGCTTTAAAATTGTGTTCTATGACTATTGTAGCTCCTAGCTGTGAGCATCCTTTCATGGCATCCTCGTTTACCTTTCTTTTCTATTAGCAAAGTGAGTAGGCAAGCTAAACTTTTGAACACCTTTGATAAGTTATCGCGGGATTTTCGTGCTTTTCGGGCGTCGTGTTTGGAAGAGGCGCTATTTTCCAATAGATGGGTACTGCGTGGGGGATTTTAACTGGATTTTGACGCCTATGCGTTCTAATATACGGCCATGTATGCGTGGTAAAAATGCTGAATATCGATATATGGAAATATTGTTGGAATATTATGAGGAATTAGGATCGTCGAAAGCACTGCAAATTGAAATTCATAACTGAAATTCAAATTGCAAATTGAATTGAAATATGCAAATTGCAAGGTTTCAACTTTCAACGCTGATTCATCAGACTCAATGTACTTTTCTTGCCCATCTGCTGGATTGGGAAACATCCATACACTACGCTGGTCGACCGTGAGACCCTCGTGGGCCGAATTCAGCTCAAGTAATTATATGCTGAAAAGGGGCATTAGAGAAGAGGGCACGAAGGTTTTCCAACCAAGGAGAGGCACTATACCGAGAGGTGTTTCTTCTAACAAACCTAAAAAACCTAACCTGACCTAACCTAACTTAACCTAGAACCTACAAACCTGCCCTACAACCTACAAACCTACAGCACCTCTCCCTGGTTGGAAAACCTTCGTGTGACATCTGCTCTACTAATACCGTAGAGCAGACATCACAAGAAGTTTTTCCAACCAAGGAGAGGCACTGTAGACTGTAGGTTTGTAGGTGGAGGTTGTAGGTTAGGTTAGGTCACGTTAGGTTAGGTTAGTTTGGTTTGGTTTAGAAAGAAGCATCTCCAGGTATAGTGCCTCTCCCTGGTTGGAAAACCTTTGTATGATATATGCTCTACTAGTACCAAAATTTTTGCATGATTTGCGCCAAAAAAGCTTATTTGCTTCAAAATTATTCCACTTTTACGTAAAGCAAATGTGCATACCTACCGACCAAGGCTTAATCAACCAGACAAAGATTTGCAGGGCCCTTTTTCAGGATATGACACTACGGTGTGTTACCACTTACCAGTGTAAAGGGCCTTGGCGCCACCAGTATCGTGGTATTGGGTTTGCTCCTATGGTTAATCTAGAAAAATATTGGAAAGGTTGGATGAGCTTCAAAAAGAGCCATTTTAGAATTTAAGAGCTGCCTCCCCCTCAGGAACATTTTTTGTGAGGGAATCAGGTGTTTGTGGGCTGTGGCAGTTGACAATTTGTATGGCACAGCAGTATAGATTTTTAAACATTGTTTTTCATTAAAAAACAGATGGATTATTATCAGAAATCATTATTCAGAAAATACCTTATGCTTATCCTCCTCGATGCCCTCAAGCATTTATTTTCCACGACAATCAAATTTCATCGTTCACTCTGGCCCGGTCGTCAGACGATGGGGGTGCCCTCTGATGCAAGCCCGGAGAGTGGCCCTCTGCCAGAGGTGCTGCGCCGGCTGCAGGAGCACTCGCCACCGCCCGACCCGGAGACTCTGCGTGACTGCTACCCGCAGCAGTGGGCGCAGCTAGCTGAGCTGGTGCAGCGAGCCGCTGGCACTGGGGAGAGCAACTCGGCCATCATCGTCGGTCCCCGCGGCGTCGGAAAAACGGCGGTACGTAATGGCGAGGGGATTAGGTTGAACTGCTTACAAGCTGGCGACCGTGTCTGTTCCGACGTGCATCTGCTCACAAGCAATCATCGCAAACTGCCCTCATTATCGTAGCTGTATGAACTATGACGCCGCTGCAGCTCATCCCCTGTTTCGATGCCCCTCGCGCTGCTGGCCTGTCGCGACGCAAGTCCCGTCTTTCGGCCGATAACCCGTCCCCTGCCCACTGCCCAGTCATCCTCGCGCTACTGACGTGCTGTCCCGCTGCCCCTCTCCCTCAGCTGTTAAACTGCGTGCTCTCGGAGACGGGCGCCGGCACCGACGGCCGCTCGGTGCTCGTCAGGCTGCACGGCCTGCTGCAGACCGACGACAGGGCGGCCATCCGGCACATCACGGCGCAGCTCAAACTTGAGTCGGCCGTCGGTGACCGGGTGTTCGGCAGCTTCGCCGGTGAGTGGCAGTACGCAGGCGAAAGGAACGTTACCTTTTATAACACGTTTCTCGTTTGAAGGTGTTTTGTGGTTTTTCACTTCTCATGGAACGAAGCCTTTTTCGAAATCATGGTAGAAAATGTCCAATTTGCATTTGTAAAATAGCGAAATATTTCTGGAGTTCGCTACAATGAAAACTGAAAGACGATTGTTTGTCAAAGTAAATGTATTCTAGTCCAAGGCATCTAGTATGTGGCTGCCTAGGCGGGCTGGTTGACGCTCCCCCAGTGGTAAGTCTGTTTTCTTTCTCTCTCCTGGCAGAGAACCTGTCGTTCCTTCTGAAGGCGCTGCGCGGCGGCAACAAGGAGGAGTCGAAGACGGTGGTGTTTGTGCTGGAGGAGTTCGACCTGTTCTGTCAGCACAAGAACCAGACGCTGCTCTATAACCTGTTCGACGTGGCCCAGTCGGCCCAGGCGCCGATCTGCGTGCTGGGCCTGACGGCGCGCCTGGACGTGCTCGAGCTGATGGAGAAGCGCGTCAAGTCGCGCTTCTCGCACCGCCAGCTGTACCTGTACGGCGTCTCGTCGGTGGAGGCTCTGGCGGCCGTGACTCGCTCCTACTTGTGGCTGCCGCCGACGGTCACCGCCGCCGCCCGCTGGAACCGCAGCGTGGAGCGGCTGCTGCAGGAGCGGCAGCTGACTGCCGCGCTCAGGAGCGTGCACGAGCGTACCAGGAGCGTCAGGGACCTGAAACTGCTGCTGGTGAGCGGTCGATGTGTGATCCGGTGACTAGGGGAGGTCCGGTGGTGTCGGACTGTTCCGGTTAGTTTCGTTACGTTATTCCACACGTTTAGTGCGTGGTCATTTGTAGTTACGAGGTCATGGTTTTTTGCCTCTATCTTCCTTAGACGAACGTTACGTCGTTCCTGGTGTAGCCACCTCTCTTCACGTTCTCCATATTATATGCGCTGACGACAATTCCAAACCTTACGACTGTTTGCCTCACCAATGACCAGTGTTTGGCCAATCCCCCCCCCCCCAGCGTCACGTGGTGTTACGTCTGTGGCGCGAGGGTCGCTCCACCCCTGAGGCGGCCGATTTTACCGCTGCGGTGACGACTATGTCGTTCGATGGACGCGCCGCCATGCTGCAGGGGCTCTCAGTACTCGAACTCTGTTTGGTAAGTGGACATGGAACTTGGGGTTGAAGGCTGGGGTGTATGAGCAATCTCGGCTGCCGCTGGTGGTTTATGCTACGTTTTCGGTAAAGGCAGTCAGTCGTTCGGAAGGGGTCTCATGAACTTTGTTGGTAACACTCGCTCAAATCCGGATCCTCCGCTAAAATATCCATGTACTATCGTAGTTTGTTCTTGCGGTACCCTCGGCTCATGACTAATCTTTCACCCGAACCGGTCAGCGCCTAGTATCTCAGTAGCGCCCGAGAAGGCCTTTCCGCTGATGGTGTCCCTCTCTGCAGTGAATGGACCCTGTTTGACATCGTGGCCCCCGTGATGTCACTTCTCTCGTCTGTGTGACAGGTGGTGGCGATGCGGCACCTGACACAGGTGTACGACGAGCCCTTCAACTTCGAGATGGTGCTCAGGGAGTACGGCAAGTTCGCCGGCCGAAAGTCCACCTTCCAGTCCTTCACCAGGCCCGTGGTGATGAAGGCCTACGAAAACCTGCAGGTCAGTCCGTCAGTCAGACCTCAGAACCTACAGTTCACTGTCGGACAGAGGGATCTCATAACCTGCAGAAAAGCCTCGGAGGCTCCAGGCTATTCCGGCAGACAGGCCTCATGCCCACGGGTCAGTGCTGCAGAAAGACCTCAGAGCATGCACGTCAGTCCCCCGCTGCCTGCAAGATGACACTAAATCACGATTTATGCCGTAACCACATGCAGACACAGGGCTGGACGCCAAGCACTGGACTTGTGCCTACCCCAAAACCCTGCAAGAATGAATCACTACGACACCCAAACTAACCTGACAGTTGCATGGAAGGGCTGCTGTTTCCCGATTGGTAATTTGTATTTATGTTCGGTAATAGCACATGCTTTTTTCAACTTGCTGAGCAGCCTATTAACTTTATCTTCTACACGTAATAACAGTTTGTAATTTGTATTATATTGTTTATGCTTTAAACGAATTTAAAGTGCATGGTGGAGTTTTACATCGAACTGTTCTTCACCAAACACAATTGGTAAAAGACACGCATTGTATGAAACTGTGCACTTAACCTGTTCTGTGGTCCGTGATTATTCAAAGCAACATTTTGCTCATTTCCTTGATTCCCTGACTGCCGTTTCGCGTTTTTTATGAGTTTGCTGTCTGTGCGCCTCGCTGTTGGAAGGCACGGAACAAGGACAGCTCTGTGTTTGATGTGTGGTGAGTTTGGTTGCATATGGTAGCTAGCAACGTCTGCTTGTTGTTCTGCTGCACTCCTGCCTTCCGGTCTGAGTCTGTGTATTGAGATGGAGTCGCATATCCATCTTGATGCACAGATTCGGGTCCCAGGCTGTATTGGGCAGATAGGCAGGTAGTCAGTGCTGCGCAATATATGTGACGCAAGCTTACACGGTAGTCGTTAGAAGAAGTTTGAGAATCGTCATTTGTCACACAAAAAATGCATTGCTTACATTTGTTTGGTTTGTGAGGCTCCATCATTTTACAAACTCATTGTGGTTGCTTTTTCTAATAATGTGTCGATCTTTTTTCTCTGCGAACTAAGTTGTGCTTCTGGGCACTGATACAATTAAACCAATCCTATTGAATAGAGCATTTTATTGCAGTTTTGTTCAGTTTTTTTTTTGTCGTGGCTGATTGCAACGGAACCATCTTTATTCGTTACGAAAAATAAGATGTCTTTTCCGCCTGAGTTATATGCAGCTGCTGTTTTTGATATCATGCAATAGTAACTGGTCGATTTATTTAGCATCCGTTGCAATATGCTGTCAGGGTGACCATTTGTCCTTTGTATCAGCTCGCTCCAGAACCCCCTTTGACTCTCTCCCCGTACTGCTCCCCAGAACCTGGAGCTGATCCGGCCGGCCGACGGTGGCGCCTCTCGCGGCCAAAAGGAGTACCAGCTGTTCTGGCTGGCCGCCACCGCCCAGGAGGTGGCTGCTGCAGTGAAGAGGCCCGGTGCCGTGCCCACAGAGGTGGCCCAGTGGGCTGACAGTGCTCTGATCTGAGCCAGACGACGGTGAACCGTATGGTCTGTGATGGCCTGGTGTTCGAGCAGCCGCATGGCCTTTGGACGGGGCTGAGTGATGCAACAGTCTGGTCTGTTCCGAGTCGATTGGTTGTCGACTGGTCCGGTCTAGTTCTGTGAACTAGCTGTCTGATTTGGTCTGATTCTAACGCGTCAGACTGCACTGTTGACCGGGGCACCCATGCTGATGTGTGAGCCAGTCCATCTCCGATGTTTGACGCTCAGACTGTTGCCATTTGTGTCCCATACCGAGCATGCATGACAGCGATGTATTGTTCTTCAGTCGTCCTTGCTACTCTAGTGCGTTGGTGGCCCTGCCCTTGGTGGCTTTGCGTAGAAAGCCAAGCTCAGACATCAGGCAAGCGCACGTACAAAGTCCCAGTCAGCCATTCCATGTCGTCTTTTTTTTAACTCGCCGTTTCTCAGCGCGCCTGGTGCGCCGCCCCCATGCAGCTGAGACAGGCTGTTGCGGGCCGATGGCGCGCCCTCCACCGCTTGGGAGGCGCGACTTATGTGATATCTGCGGGGATAGCGAAGTGCGCAATGTCGCAGCTACGTGATGTCATCCTGGGACCAAGAAGGCAGGGAATGTCGTTTGTATGAGCTCATGTTTTTGATTCCTTGGTGTATGTATGTGCGTCTTTGTAAGAAAATAAAGAAACGATACCGTTTCTGCTTTATGATGCGGTCGTGTTGTCTTTCTTCCAGCATGTTGCTAACAACTATTTGACCAAGCTGGACCGATAACCTTCATTTAAAACACGGTTTGAACCCAAAAGTGCGTGTCTCGGAAGCATTTACTAACGAAATGTGTAACCAACTTATTACATTCGCATCGCCTATGTTCTGTTTCTCAAAAGTAATTAAACACATGACGTAAGCCCCGCTTACAGTGAACTGAAGAGTAAGCTCATTCGAGGCGTTTCTGTTTCTACATGACCTGACAGAAGCACCATATGCCGCGGTCAATTAGGCCAGTTTACGGCCGGCTGCGGTCGGTGTGTTCCCATTGCACCTCGCGCCCGCTGCGCACGAGGCTCCGTGTGGGACCGGGGGGTGTCACGAACGGCGCCCACTCACGACACACGGGCCGTGGAGCGTGCAACTGGAGCTGCGGCGGCTCCCAGCCGGCCGTGAGTCCCTCCAGACGGACCGGCTCCGGCCCCGGCCGCCGGGGTGGTGTTCGGGGAAATGGGCTCCCGGCTCCTGGCGCAGTACCGTGGTGTTGCGGTGGGAGCCCGGAGCGCAGTGGTGGGGATCCTCCGTGGGTGAGGCTCACTGCAGGTGGCTGTGGGGAGGGCTGGTGTGGTGGTGTTCCGTCAGTGGAGCCGCTGTTTGATTGTTTTCGTCGTTGATTCGCGACATGGGCATTAGACAGAGCTTATTTGGACGGTCTGGCATGGCGTTTTGGTTGTGATTTGGACGGCCCGTCATCACCGGTCACTGTCGAATGTCGATGTCGCTATCAGTTCCCACCGCCGCTAACAACGGACGTCGAAGGCCAACCATAAGACGTCCTTGAATGGAAATAGCTGCGTGTAGCGGTGAAAATAGTGTTCGCTTCGATTTTTCACTTCCATGTCCGATTATCCTATAGTCAGAAACTGGTGCTAAGATTAACTAAGTTATATTGTGGTCTGTGGATAGAGATCACTTCTGGCGCTCCGCTTGCTCGTCATTGTCCAATATCGATTGATTCACTCGTGCAATAGTTTCACAATCGTCTAAGCACCTCTCTTTAAACTCCAGCCCGCCACCCCGTTCATGCGCCCGATGGTCAGAGCTCCGTGGCGTCCTTGAGCTCCCGGAAGTTGCCCGGCGCCGGGTCACGGGTTGGTGCCGTCTCCCACGCCGGCCGGCTACACCTGTGAAGACGGACCGATGACGTCAACACGGCGTGGAACCGGCGGCCTCGTTACGGTCGGAGTAAGGCGCCCGTTTGTGGCCGGCCAGTACTACCGGATGGGTGTGCGGTGTCGGCTGAGAGCCGTGGGTCTGTGTACTCCCAGCTATGGGCTATAGTGTACTCTCAGTCGTGGGTCTGTGTACTTACAGTGTATATACACTCAGCCGCGGTCTCATGCAATAGCTAATTGTGCTGATGCAGGCGACCGTATTTAGAGTATTGGCGTGAAATATGCCCACGAGTGATCGCGAAGAGCATGGTCGGTTGCGGGTACTCCTATAAAGTGGTTCAATGGATGGATATTGGATAACTATTGCGACTTGGAAAACAATATTACGCGCGAGTTGTGAAATCGTCTCCAATTAAAGCCAACATGATGGTTGCTGTAACTTAGACAAAACAAACGTCTGAAGCTTACATCACACTTATTACTTATCACACTTCCTACCATTCTATACGTGGCCTTTCGTTACAGCCTCCTCCTCCTCCCTGCCGGCCATCGGCCCGCTCCCCTAACGAGCTCCGTACGCTCGGTAACAGCTCCCGTCGCCGCACTATGGTTGGAAACGGCCTCACGGATGGCCGTGGGCAATTTCGGAATATATGTATATTTGGGGTGTCATTCTGTTGGAAATTGATGAAATGTTTTGAATTGGGCAGAAAAAATTATTTAGTTGCGCATTTAGTCTTCATTATTGTACGTGGAATCGGGAGTTTCTGATAGTGGCTTTTTTGGTGCGCCGTCAAAGGTTTAAACAACCGCGCTGGTGATAGCATGTGGAGTACCTCCATGACGTTGTAAAACTGGATTATTATATATCAAAATAATCCTTGTTATGTTGGCTATCGAGTGGAGTGACTCTTTTTCCCATGCGTGTTCAAAATCAGGAACGGCATTGCATTCTGTTTGCAGTGTCACCACAGCAAATATTTGCAAAATTACGTTTATGTTTCATTGGACATACAAAAAGTTCTCCATCGACCTCCATTGAGCTTTTTGGCAGAATAAGTCTCTGTTAAATTCTGCGTAAGGGGAACGTAAAAGCAGACTGCGCACTTGTGCGCAAAATCGTCCGTGAAGCTTCATCTCCCGAGGCGTACCTACCCGTCGCTTCGTTAGCACCAGGTCGGCTCGTCAGTCTTGCAATCGCTTATCCTTATAAATGATGGTAAGAAGCAGGGTTGCGGAGTCGTGGTGGCGCCAAATCCGACTCCGACTACGACTCCGACTCCTGACTCGTTGCCATGACTCCGGCCGACTCTGTCTCCGACTCCGGACCCCTGCCAGTGTTTCGGAGTCGTGATGGAGCTGTTCCGATTCGGACCGACTCCGACTTCCACTGCGGGCTCCTGACCGACCCCGACTCCGACTCCGACTCCTGGCTCGTTGCCACGACTCTGGGCGACTCTGACTCCGACTCCGACTCTGACTCCGACTCTGACTTCGACTCCGCACCCCTCGTAAGAAGTAACTGCTCGCCGCTGCACCTGGAGTATGGATATCGTGCAAACGTGTATGGATATCCTGGAGTATGGATATGGATATCCACCGACAGAGCAGACATACAGACATGCTGTAAACGCCATTACACTGCCAATACCATGGCAAATCAAATGGCTACCTATGGTTTTTGATCATCGTTCTACATTTCCCAAAATATTGAACTGAATGTTGGCAATTTCTCGTGACTACTTCACGACCATGATGCATGCATTTCTGACAGGGCATATTTTAACACACTGACTGCGTCCCATTTTGGGACGCAGCCCCCTGCCTTTGGGACGTAGTCCTCGCGAAATTTGGACCACTGCGTCCCATAATTGCGAATTTCGATACTGGCCAAAAGCAATTACAACAGCCCGCTCCCAATATCCCGCTTGCTGCCCCTCCACCAGCACAGTACACAATGACACATGTATCTGTCAGTACATTACCGCACTTGCATTATATAATATATACCTACTATTTCGCTTGCAATGTGCCCTTTCCGATCGAAGCATGTGCCCTATGACACCTTTGGGACGCAGTAAAAAATCCTTAAAATATGCCCTGATTTCTGAAATTGATCTTTTTTTCAACCAGCCACGTACTCGTATGATAAAATGAATGTCACCATCGTGTTCTACGCCCAAAAGTACCCATAAAACATGTGTCATGCATGGGCTGCGAATAGGTACCAGTTTTAATTTTCGGGGTTATGTGCTTTCCTGATTGACCTAACTTTGACCCTGGCCAGTGGCCTATGTTTGACTGACCCCTACATTGATCTGACACTCTTTTAGCACTTATATGAAGGGTTGTGACAGTTGTGACAGTTGTGACAGATTGTTTAGGACCAACTGATGACTGAATTTATTTAGGACCAACTGATGACGATATAATCGAAACGCGAAACGCGAGGCACCGATTGCGAGGTTCTAAAGTCCATGCTACTGAAAGCCCGATTTCAAGTGTTTGACCTGACCTTGACCCGACCTGTGACCTCGAAATTCAACTTTAAAGTATTCATGTGAATCGTCTCCTCGCGTTCTTCTTTCGTTTGCCGCGCCTCGTGCGTTTCGATGCGCCTATTTGTTCGCGAGTTATCGGCTGGGGGCGTTGAACGCCCCCCCCCCCCCCCGGCAAACGGCGGATGGGGAAATACCCCAGCAACTGCCGGGTTAATCTGACGCATGTTTTGTCATTTGATCGTCATTTATTTCTTACTTTTTTGCCCAATCTAAAAAAAAAATCATAAATACTCTTTCTCCAAATTTTTGACCCTTTATGACCAATAGTAAGACACTGTGCGTCACTACGTTGATATTTCTCACCCTAAAGCATAACAACAATATCCATTCAGTAATAGCAGTATTCAAAACATGTTCAAAATGCCTCGCGATATCGATAACATAACGAAAGACATAGGCGACTTATAACATACTTGCAATGATGACGTCACACACGCGTGACGTGACGTGACCTCGTCATTTCTGAGTTACTGTATGATGCACGAAAGACACTGGTATACCTATGCAAAGTTTCATCGCAGTCGGTCTACGCATTAACAAGTTATGGGCAAAACATTTTTTCGCGTTGACCCCCGGCCATCCGTGAGGCCGTTTCCAACCATAGTGCGCCGGCCTGATTTACCCCGCCGCCGTCGGTGGCCAGTCTTTCATTAGCGGCTCGGCCGCCGGTCGGCTGTGCTGATTTATCAACTGTGGGGGTCACCAGTCGGCGGCCGGCGGTCACTGATCGGTGGTCGGTCCCCGCCGGGTCGGCCCCTCGAGGACAGTCACCGTCATTACACGGTGGTTACAGCTGGACGCCGGCGACCGCCCCCGCCCCCGCCCGGCTCCTGTGCCACACACGGGACGGTATCTCGCCCTGTGAACTCTGCCGCTATCCCTTCTGTCGTCCCCCGGGCCGCAGCCAATGACTCGACGATTCTCCATCTGCCCGGTTTCGGCCTTCGCGATCCCGTAAAGTGATTCTGCATCTATCCTGCTTGCAAACCCCGTTGCCTTGTGCACCCATGTAGTACACAGTACACGCCACGAAGGACCCTGTTAGATCATGTTACAAAGAGCGCCTGAAGACTCCTAACGGGATGCTGTGCTCCCGGTTATGCGGAGCTCATTGATAAATCGTTTGTTGGTGACGGCTGGGTCCGCCTTTCCGACCAATGACAACGCTGTGCTGGGGAGGATGCGCCCAGTTTTGGAGGTGGGTGGCACGCCCCCCGCCCCCGGTATCTGGGGCGGAGTGTTCAGGCGCGTGTC